TTTTCTGAGTTGGTTGCGCTCAGCTCTTGTGGCGAATTGCATCAGTGGCGATGGAGCGATGCTACTCCTTATTGTTCTGCTTGTTTTACCTCATTAAGCTGTCCTTCCAGCCCTGCTTTCATGGGAATTTCGCAATTAGGCTCGGAAGTTTCTGAATCATGCAAGGTATTTTAATAATGATGAATTGTTTTACATTTGCCATTATATTTTTTAAAATCTTGATCATTCCAGCCGACGTCATTTTCTTCTCGTGACTTGATTGGCGACATTTGTTTCAAGGCTTTGCATCATCCAAGGACTGCCTCTTTGGGCTTGTTAAATGAGCGCATTATTATGCTTTCTGGATGTGGGACTCGGGGAAGTGTCTTGACTGCTTCTGGCAAATTAGCCACTTGGATGGACGATAGTCTAACGAATCTCTTGGCAACCGCAGCCTCTACAAATAGTAACAAAGATCAGCACAATAATTTATGTATCCTAACTGCCAGATTTGAACATCCAGCCACCAATTTCCAGGAACTCCGAGATGAACGTATTGTAGCTCTTTTCACGGCCCCCTTGGTTACTGTTGCTAGGTGCCTTTCAGGAAGTATATATTGGTGGTGAGTTATTTTGTTTATAGATATTCTTAATATATCTTGATCTGACTCAAGCTTTATACTGTTTATTTATTCCAGGGGAATTTATCCTTCGTATATGCGACAGAGAGCCATTGAACGCCTGAGACAATATAAATCAGCTAGTGCCATAGGCTCAAGTTCAGCCGGACCTGCTTCGAAGGTTTTAACCTCAAGTAATACCAAAGCCTCTTTTCCTGCTGATGGAGGACAAACATGTGGCAAATCTGCGTTATCATCTGTTAATGTCGGTCCCGGTGCTCTTGTTTGTATGAAAAGCGCACCGATATTCCACGCTGGTGCCCTTGGCTTTGCTGTCGTCAATGGTGTCCCCAAGGTCTATCTTGTTAAAGTTTAAAAACTAGTCAATTTTCCAGTTATATGACAAAAATGTTCTCTTTTTTAGGTGGGCACACTGCTAGAGGATGCCTGGAAGTTAACTGATGTTTGCCGTTTCCGTGTGCGCGTTCCTAACTCGACGAATATCAATTCCAGTGAATCAAAGATATGTATAGATGATAATATTAATACTGGTTCATCTATCACTACCTCTGGGCAACGCCTGATGATGGGAACGCCGAATCCACTCGACCCAGCCCAGCACACGCTTACTTGCCCACACGCGCTCGTTGCTCTCTCAGTTGCTGCAGCCGCTGCCGTGGGGCAGCATGTGCATGCTAATCCTGTATCCCCTGCCTCTATTGGGCTGGAACATGGTTCTTCGACCTTGGCGGTGACCTCAGCTCAAGTTGGGGCTGCTCCTTCCAGTCTACCTGAGATGCCTCCTCCACCATCCCCAGCTTCTTCTACTTGTAGTGAACAATCTGGACCTGTTCGTGTCAGCCCTGGCACATTCAGTAAGTCCCTTTTCAGATTCCCGAAGATTTTATCTTCAGCCTGGTTATTATAGACGGAGACATTGCTACTCCGAATTATTCAAGGAGATTATTGGGATTTTTAACAATTCAATTTCCATTTG